AAAAAAAAAAAAAAAAAAAAAAAAAAAAAAAAAAAAAAAAAAAAAAAAAAAAAAAAAAAAAAAAGCAAACCTCTGGAAACCACACAAATACATGGAAACTAAACAATAGGCTCCTGAATGACTTATGGGTCCAAGAAGAAATTAAACAGGAAATCAAAAAATTTCTTGAAACTAATGAAAATAAAGATACATCATACCAAAACCTGTGGGATACTGCAAAAGCAATATTAAGAGGCAAATTTACTGCAATAAATGCTTACATCAAAAGAATGGAAAGACTTCAAATAAACAACCTAACACTACACCTCAAACAACAAAAATCCAAACCTAAAGGTAGTACATGGAAAGAAATAATTGAGATCAGAACAGAACTAAATGAAATAGAGACCCAAAAAACAATAGAAAATATCAATGAAACAAAAAGTTGGTTTTTCAAGAAGATAAATAAAATAGACAAACCATTAGCTAGGTTAACAAAAAAAGAAGAGAGAAGATCCAAATAACCAAATCAGAAATGAAAAAGGATACATTACAACTGATACCACAGAAATACGAAGAACCATTAGAGACTACTATAAACAACTGTATGACAACAAATATGAAAATCTGGAAGATATGGATAGGTTTCTAGACACATAAAAACTACCCAGACTGAACCAAGAAGAGACAGAAAACCTGAACAGAATAATAACAAGCAATGAGATTGAAGCAGTAATCAGCAATCTCCCAACAAAGAAAAGACCAGGTCTGGATGGCTTTACAGCTGAATTCTATCAAACTTTTTAAGAGGAGTTAATACCAATTCTTCTCAAACTATTCCAAAAAATTGAAACAGAAGCTACTCCCCCAAATTAATTCTATGAGGCCAACATAACTCTGATACCAAAACCAGATAAAGACACAACGGAAAAAGAAAATTACAGGCCAATACCCTTGATGAACCTAGATGCACAAATCCTCAACAAAATATTAGCAATCATAAAACAGCAGTAGGTTAAAAAAATTATACACTGTGACCAAGTGGGATTCATCCCAGGGATGCAAGGAGGTTCAACATACAAAAGTCAATAAATGTGATACACCACATCAACAAACTCAAGGACAGAGACCATATGATTATCTCAATAGATTCTGACAAAGCATTTGACAAAATTCAACATCCCTTCATGATAAAGACTCTCAACAAATTAGGTTTAAAAGGAAAGTATCTCAACACAATAAAAGCCATCTATGACAAGCCCACTACCTGTATCATTCTGAATGGGGAAAAACTGAGGGCCTTTCCCTTTAGAACAGGAACAAGACAAGGATGTCCACTCTCACCACTTATATTTAGCATAGTTCTGGAGGTACTAGCCAGAGCAATCAGGCAAGAGAAAGAAATAAAGGGAATCCAAATTGGAAAAGACAAAGTCAAACTGTCTCTATTTGCAGATGACATGATACTATATATAGAAAAACCTAAAGACTCTATCAAAAAACTCCTAGAGCTCGTTAATAACTTCAGTAACATTGCAGGATACAAAATAAATGCCACAAAATCTGTTGCATTTATATACTCAGATAGTGAACTAATGGAAAGAGAAATAAAGAAGGAAAGCCCATTTACAATTGTCATGAAAAAAATAAAACACCTAGGGATCAACTTAACCAAGGAGGTGAAAGATCTCTACAATGACAACTACAAACCACTACTGAAAGAAATTAAAGAAGACACAAAAAGATGGAAAGATATTCCATGCTCTTGGATTGGAAGAATTAATGTTGTGAAAATGTCTATACTACCCAAAGCAATCTACAGATTCAATGCAATCCCCATCAAAATACCAATGACATTCTTCACACAATCTCAACTTTTACATGGAACAACAAAAGAGCCCAAATAGCCAAAGCAATCATGAGCAAAAAAACAAAGCCAGAAGCACGATACTACCTGGCTACCACTTATACAAATGACACTACCTGACTACAAATTATACTACAAAGCTACTGTGACCAAATCAGCATGGTACTAGCATAAAAATAGAACCCCAAAATCACCCCTCAGGCTTGTAGCCATCTGATATTGGACAAAGGCAACAAAAATCTACAATGGGGAAAAGACTGCCTCTTCAACAAGTGGTGCTGGCAAAATTGGATATCCATATGCAGAAGAATGACACTAGATATACATCTCTCGCCATACACTAAAATCAACTCAAAATGGATTAAAGACTTAAGTATAAGACCCAAAACTGTAAAATTACTAAGAGAAAATATAGGTGAAACACTTCAGGAACTTGGTCTGGGCACAGACTTTATGAATATGAGCCCAAAAGCACAAGCAGCAAAAGAAAACATAAACAAATGGGACTCTATCAAACTAAAAAGCTTCTGCACAGCAAAGGAAACAACAGAGTGAAACAACAACCTACAGAGTAGGAGAAAATTTTTGCTAACTATGCATCTGACAAGGGCCAAATACCAAAGATCTATCCCATGAGATTTCATTTTTATAGAGCTTTTTAAAATGCAAAACTGATCTGTGGTGTTAAGAGTCAGGACAATAGTCAGTGAAAAAAAAAAAATAACCCAACTAAAAAATGGGCAAAGGAGCTGAATAGACATTTTTCAAAGGAAGACATACAAATGGCCAACAGGTACATGAAAGAATGCTCAACATCACTAGTCATCACAGAAATGCAAATTAAAACTACACTGAGATATCACCTCACCCCAGTTTGGCTATAATCAAAAAGACAGAGAATAACAAATGCTGGTGAGGTGTGGAGAGAAGGGAACGCTCCTACACTGTTAGTGGGACTGTAAATTGGTGCAGCCGCTATGGAGGGCAGTATGGAGGTTTCTCAAACAACTACAGATAGATCTTCTATACGATCCAGCAATCCCACTTCTGGGTATATACCCAGAGGAATGGAAATCATCATGTTGAAGGGATACCTGCACTCCCATGTTTATTGCAGCTGTTTACAATAGCCAAGACATGGAACCAACCTAAACGTCCAATGATGGATAATTGGATAAGGAAATTGTCGTATATATATATATATATATACCATGGAATACTACTCTGCTATAAAAAAGAATGTAATTCTCCCATTTGTAACAACATGGATGAGCCCGGAGAAGCTTATGTTGAGTGAAATAAGCAAAGCCCAGAGGGATAAATACCACATGTGCTCACTCATATGTGGGAGTTAAGAGAGAAAGAAGGAAAGAAAGAAAGACCACAGTGGTGTGTTGGACTTGCAGAGGGAGAGAACATACCTTGGGATACAAAGTAGAGTGGGGAGAGAGGTGGAGGGAGATCAGGGATAACTGGGTGAGGGACAGGGGGTACAAATGCAATTTGTGGTAATGGGCATGCTGCCAGCATCCAGTATGGATCTGGTCTTTACATCTTGGGCACGAGTGGTGAGAATCAGCTTTGTATCACATGAATATTCATAATCAATAAAATAAAATAAATCAATAAATTTAAAAACAACCTCACACATCATATAAACAATATCAGTAAAGGAAAAATTAGAACTATAGATGAACAAGAAAATAAAAACAACCTTGAATTTTACCACCCCAAGGTAACTACTATTAACACTAGGTATGCATTCTTCTGGACTTTCCTCCAAGCTTGCAATTGTTTCATTTTTCAGAACAAAAATAGACCTACACTGTGTAGCATATTGACTTACTTGTTCACTTAATTATACAGAATAAAAATCTGGGTAATAAATATGCATCTACAAATCATTATGTTGTAGTATGCAATTTTACGGGTATTAAAAATCTTATGGGTATTAAAAACCTTACAGGTATTAAAAATCTTACAACTAATTCCGTATTATTGGGCATTTCAGTTTATCCATTTTATTTCCTTAAGACAAATTCTCACAATTGGCAATGTCAAGTCAAAGAGTATAAATGCGTCTGGTAATTTAATATTTTACTGAGTGTTTTCTATCTGCTTTGAAGGCATAGGGATATACTGCTGAACAAGACAAGGTCCTGATCTTAACTGAGCTTGCAGTCTTGGGGGGCATGGGCGAAGGAGAAGAGGGGAGACGAACATTGTGTTGGAAAGAACCCAAACAATAAAGGAAATTTCAAATAGTGATTCTGTTATGAAGGATATGGGATCACTGTGGTGGAGTAACTGGGGAAGTATGGGGAAGATAGTGGGATTATTTTAGAAAGGATGAAGAAATTCTGAGATGACATCTGAGCTAAGACTTGAGGGAAGTCTGTCACGTGCTCCAGATAGTGCATACAAAGACCCTGAGGCTAGAACCAGCTTAAAGTCTTCTTAATCTGGATTTCACTATCTAGCACTGTACTTGTCACATACTAGGCACTAAAACTTAAATGAGAATAATTTTGAAAAATTCTGCCATGAGAAAACATCAAAAACCTCACTGTGGAATCTGGGAGTTTGCATTCACAAGTTACCTAGTTTGATCAGATGCAGGAGCTGCTCTGAGGGTGCACACACAGACTGAGGCTTGATTTCATTGATGAGGCCATTAGCAATGCTGATGTAGCCGTCGTAGAGCAGCTGGCTAATGATCAGCTTGTAGAGCTGCTGGCGGTCCTTCAAGCCCACTTTGGTTCTGTACATCTTGAAGAAGAGGAAGACAACTTCCCTGCCAGCTACAAGAAGGGAAAACAGGTGGATGGTGAAGGGTAGAGGCACTAATAAATCACAGAAGCAACAAGGACTCTTTGGTCAGACTTAATCTTGCAGGTTAAATCCCAGCTCTGCCACCTTTGGTCAGTGACCTCATTTCTGAGCTCAGATTCCTCAGCTGCTGAGTAAATTACTGGAGGTTAAACAAGTTGGTGCATGTGAAGCACTGAGCAGAGTGCCGGGCATACAGAAATTATTCATGTCATGTTGGCCAACATTTACAGCAGAATCCCTCACCAACTTTTCTGCCAAACTACCCACCTGTGATTTTTATTCTTTATTGCTATCCCAGAATCTTCCATTTCTTCTGTTAATTAAACATTGACTGGTGTTTGCAATAGGCAAGACAGCTGCTATTCTGTCAAATGTCTAGACTACTGTTTCCCCAGCTGAGCTGTATGTTTACTAATGTCCGTTAATGTCGTTTGTAAAATATGTTTTAAAGCAACTGTTCTTGTTACTGTAATTACATAATTTACTTAGTAAATAAAAATATGAGGGCAAAAAAGCTACTGTACTATGAAGACTACACCAAGATAAATGCTATGGAAAGATTCAAAGGTGAATTGCTTAGTAAAATATCGCCAAATAAGATATAGCCAAAACAAATATAAAAATGGGGGAAAAAAATGTAAAGATGTGGAAGAATTGTGCATTCAGATTGATTTACAAGGGTCTAAGTTCTCCTTTATTCTTAGAAAGTTTAACAGAAAATTGTAGGTATGGTTTCTGGTTCATGAAAAAAAGAACTCCAACTGGTGGACATGATTAGATAATTTTGGTTATCAAAAATCAACGTCTAGGGCCGGCCCGGGGCCCACTTGGGAGAGTGTGGTGCTGATAACACCAAGGCCATGGGTTTGGATCCCTGTATAGGGATGGCAGGTTAGCTCACTTGGGATAGTGTGCACTGCGATACGAGGGATGTTCATAATAGCTAACACTAATTAAGCACTTTCTACATGCCAGATACAGTGCTAAACACTTTATCAGCATTAAGCTCACTGAGTGAAACTATCAGTGCCCTCAAGTACATGGAGGAGCAAATGTACGTAAATCTACGCTTGTGTAGACAACACTAAGACACAGCAGAGATGATAAAATGGGCTCAAAGAAATTAGGATACACACTCAAGGTAAAATGTGGCTGAGGGCTGAGTAACTCGGCCAAGATTAAAGTGGACGTCAGGACTGCCTAACTCCAGAGCTCAGAATTTAACCACTGTCCTGTCTCGTCAGTCCTGTCGGGCGCATCAGGGGGTGTACCGTGCAAAGAGATTAAAAATAGAAAAAAAAGTGGTCGGGTCTCCACTTCTCAACTCCCTTAGAGCATTCACTAGTCGGACTAGAAGAAGCCTAATGAGTATCCCCAATTTGCAGGGGAGGACACTGAGGTACGAGGGCAGGAAGAACAGATCCAGGACCAGTTACACCCGGAGACGGAAGGGGTAGCAGGGCGAGAACAGAGACGCCCCGTCAGTATACACGCGGCGACCGTCACCATACAGAGGCAAAGTAAGGATGGGCTGGGGGCGAGGCCCTTTGAGGAAGAGGTGTGGGTGCGCAGGCCAGCCCGGAGACTCGGGCATCACGAACTCGGGGCACATGCCACCCCGCTTATTCTCGATCCTTCCCTCCTCGCCCTGGTCCTTCCTATGGCCCACTAAAGGTCCCCGCCAACTGCCCCAGCCACTCTCCCATATCCCTGAACCCCCGGTACCCGCGGATCCGGCTCTCTTCGTCTCCCGCTCTCTCCCAGAAAAATGGAGGCGCGAATCCTGTCCAATCGATCGCTCCGAGCGCACGTTCACTGCGCACGCGCACAGAGCGCCACGCCGAACGCTGCTCTACCGATCGGTCCCATTCTCTGTCGCCCTTCTCGCCATCTTACTTACTGGCACGTTCGAGAGGTTCGTTTACCTCCTCCGACTTTATCTCTTATACGACAGCTCTGACGCCAAGAGGCTTTTGTCTCACGGACAAATGCCCATGCCGGAGAGCACCGCGGGCGCTAGAACCTCCACGGATCTAGCAGGCCGTTTGCTCCACCACTTCCGGGTGTTACGGGGAAAGCGCGCCTGCGCGCCGTTTGCGACTTGGAACGTGACGCAAATCGTCGGGTTTGTTGGGAGCCAATCACTCGCTCTTGCTCGGGCCAATCGGCTTTCGGATTAGAGGGTTTAACTCCTATTTAAAAAGAAGAACCTTTGAATCCTAACGGCTGAGCCGTCGGCAGCCTTCGGCGGTCTTGTGTCGGAGTTGGGAGCCGACGGGTGGGTAGACCGTGGGGACCAGCTCTGTTTGGCGGAAGAGGGAGGCGGAGACGAGGCCTGGGACGAAGGGCGGCCGGCCGGGACGAGTCAGAGGGAAGGAGCGGAGCGACGAGTCCTCCCTACGTCCCTGTCCCCAGCGCCTCTGCATCTGCTGCTGGGTACCGGGCGCCCTAGCAGATGCCGCAGAGGATTTATCACTGCTACAGGTGGAAGGGGATTGTTGAGTGACGTTGGGCGCGGGCGCTTCCTAGAAGGAGCGGAGCGACGAGCCCTCCCTACGTCCCTGTCCCCAGCGCCTCTGCATCTGCTGCTGGGTACCGGCCGCCCTAGCAGATGCCGCAGGGGATTTATCACTGCTACAGGTGGAAGGGGATTGTTGAGTGACGTTGGGCGCGGGCGCTTCCTGGTCGGATTTCACATTCAGGGAGAACCTGGGTGAGAAAAACATGAGGGAGGCCTTTGCTGTCTTAGAATTTACGTTCTGGTGGGGGTGGGGAGGCAGGCGACGAGCTACCAGGACAACCTGCACTTGCGATGGGCGTTTTTATGAAGGAAATGAAACGGCAGTGTGGTTTAACGGGGGTCCTTTAGATAGAAGAGCCTGGGAGGCCCTCGTCCTGGCTGGACGGGTGAGTGGGTGAATCAATGAGTGAGCACCTCCTCGCGGAGGCCTTCCCGGGCTGGCGCTTCTTACCCCAAAGCGTAGACCTTGGAGCAGTTATATCGAGATTACTTCAAGACTTTGTTAAGGACACAGCCCCCCAACCCCGAGCGACCCCACCGCAGACCCAGTAAGTCAGGGTCTCTTGGGGTAGGACCCAGGTGTCTAGTTGTTATTAACAAGCTCTCCAGGTGATTCTGATGATTCACTGAGAACTAGCGATGCGGACCAGGGCAATACCAGATCACCTGGAGGTGTTAAAGTGCACGATTGGTTCTGGGGTTGGGCCTGAGAGTCTTCATTTCTAACAGACATCCGGGTAAGTAGATATAGCTACTGTCTTTGACTTTTAATGTCCCTTAATCTCCTTACTCTCCCTTGTATTAAGCATTTTTCAGCTTATACGCATTTCCTCACCCCTCCTTCATCTCTGCAGGCATTTACAGGTCTGAGGGAGACAAAATGTATAGACCCACTGTGCTATTAACCTAACAGCTTTCCTACTTAAAATAGGATCTCTGGTTTGAACTGAATGGATCCTGTGAAGGTCATCTAGTTCTTGAATCTGGTTGTAGATCAGAATCACCTGAAGAGCATTCTTCCTGGAGGCTGTCTCCAGAATTCTGGACCAGAATCTCATTCCATTTTGTTTATTATTACTCTTCCCTAGAAAGAAAAGTATAATAAAATGGAGCACATGTCTGTAGCTTCTGTCCAGTGAATATTGAATCAGTGTCCTTGGGTCTATGTAATCTCACAAGTCCGCTATTTGTAATTGTCAGAGAAAGTGAAGAAAGCTGACGTTTACTTCACACAGGCATGCATTAACTTTTCCTTTTTGTTTTTTATCATTACTGGCCCACTGTTTTATATACGGCTCTTTCGTTTTGGTCTCATAGTAATCATGGAGTTATTTGCTTATTTGTAAAATGGATGTGAGGGGGTGGGGAGTGCTTACTGACTGTATTCTAGAATTTAGAGTACCTGGGTGAGAAAGATTTCTGATTCCTTGGTATCCTGCTTTACCTACTTGATAGGTTATTGTGCCTGACTCACAGTATGGACTTATTAAATGTTACAAGCTATTTTTATTATTGATTTCCTTTGTCAGTGGATTGATTCATTCCTAAAGCACTGGTATGCATGCTGTGTGCTAGGCATTGTTCTAGTTTCTGGGGCAGCAACAGTGAACAAGATGGGAGTAAACTGTTCTCATGGAACTTATTTCTGTGGAGATTCTGAGCAGGTAAATGGATATCTCAGTCTAGGGAGACGGACAGTAAACAAATGCTCATAAGGTTTATGTAAGCTGTTAAGGGCTATGGAGAAAAGTAAGGGGGCAACAGTTCTGGAAGTAGACATTTGATGAGAGACTTCAATGAAATGAAGGACTGAGCTACACACAGTAGCCTAATGGCGGAAGAGCCTAATAGGTAGCAGAAACAGGAAGTGCAAAGGCCTGTGGGACTTGTTTGAAGTAAGGGAGGAGTCTTGTGTGGCTGGTTTGCCATAGACAATAAGAGGAGATGACATTAGAAGTGGTCATGGTCCACATTCTGAGACTTCATAGACCTGTCTGCTCAGGTAGGAGTTTGAAGTTTTTTTAAACTGAGTTGGGGAGCCAAGGGGGGCTTCTGAACCAACGTCCAACACGTCTGTCAAGGTGATCGCTGGCTGCAGTGTTGAGAATGGACCATAGTGGGGTAAGGCAGAAGTGGGGAGACCATCAGGGGACCCTGTTGCACATAATCCAGAGGGGAGGGAATTATGGTTTGACCAGATGGTGGTAGTAGAGGTGGTGAGCAGTGATTTTGAAGGAAGAGCCTACAAAATGTGCTGATGGGTTAGATGTGGGTTTTCAGAAAGAACTGTGTAAATGATTATGCCAACACTTATGGCCTGAGCAATTGGCAGAATGGATTTGCCGTCAGCTGAGATGGGGGGATGTCTGTGAGAATAAATTTGGGGAGGTGGGAGTGGGGAGGGATCAGGGTTTCTGTTTGGAGCATGCTAAAATCGAGGTGCCTCTCAAATAACCAGATGGAGATGTTGCATAAAGGTACGATACTTAAGTCTGGAGCGCAGGGGAGAGTTCTGGCCTGGAGATGGATATTTGAGAGTCCTCATCCTGTGAATGGTACTGAAAACCAAGAGACTGGATGAACTTACCTACATGAGTGATACAGAGAAGTGTAGTGCGAGGCCTGAGCCCAGGGCACTCCTTTAGCAGGAGGAAAGAAGAGGTCCTGTTTTGGATGTGTGAGGATTGAGATGCCCAGCAGACAGTTCTGGGAGATCATGAGCAGATACTTGATACCTGAGTCTGGCAGTCAGAGGAGAGGTTAGGGCAGAAGATGCATTTTTTTTTTTTGTCTTTTTTCCGTGTCCGGCTACGGATCGCAACCCTCAGTGTTGCCCCCGTACCGGGCCGGGGACCGGCGACGGGATCGCAAGCCTCGGCG